TTTGCAAAAACAAATATGGATGCCCAAAAATTGCTATTGCACGCGGACAAGGTCGCTGAACAGCTAGTTTTTTCTAAAGTTCACATCAAAATAGTATTAAAAAATAGCGGTTAATTTGCCGACGGTACATAAAATAGAAAGCACTTGGGCGCAACGCCAAGATTCAATGAAATTATCATAGTTCTATATCCGACATGTTTATTTTTCTTTATTTATAAAGTAATGGCCTAATGATTGAAAATCAAGCATAATAAAGTATTTCGGCCGAGCTAGGCACAGAATTCGAAGAAAATGAGCATATAATTATTTACATGTAAATTAAATAAATCAAATAGATATTGCTTTAAATCAAAATATATATTAGTTAACTTATTTTTAAACCGGAACTGACGTTTTAAACCGTAGGAAGAGTTTTATTTTAACATTCGTTCTGTTTAGCTATAAACAATACTTCAAATCGATCAATAGAAAAAAACACAGAAATGTGCTAGCCTTAGGCTTAAACGAACCTACGATCCGTTGATAATTATAGCCATACATTGTTATTTTCTAAGTACTCGCAATCCTAAAGAAAAAGAGGGTTTTTAATCATTATTGCGAATGTTACAATCCAACAAAATTAAGTTCCTATGTAGGACTATCCCAACTGTGGGATTGTTATGTCCAATCACTATTAATTTTAAACGTTAACATAAAAGCGACTCTAACATATTATTTAACATTTCAGCAACTATAAGGGCATTCGCACACCTCTCTAACCACTAATTAGGTGTTAAATCACTGTAAACGACTAAGCCTCTGACGTCACGGGTCCCAATGTTTACCGTGATTTACACTTGCGACTGCGGGCGTGTGAACTGCACACAACACCGAGAATAGCGATAAGCGAGTTTTAATCATTGATTAAATTAACTCACACTTATTTGTTGCTAAGTTATATTAAGATCATTGATCTGATTAATATTATTTGAGATGTATACCAAAATGTACTGACATTGAATTAACAAAATGAAAAAAAAAATATCTGATTGAAGTAGTATGTATAATATTTTGCTTGAAAAGATCACTTTTAACCACAAATAATTAAGATGTGTTAAATTTTTAGAAAGTTGGGTGTTAGAAAAATGGTCACCACCACGAACCACCACAGATGGAGTAGTATATTTGTGATCACGTACCAGTATATTGATCTCCAAAAAACCAACGTCAAAATTGGTGGGCAGCATCTTGTTTAAAAGTTATTAATGAAGTATTTCATGAAGTAAAACCTATGATTATCTGGGCTTCTCTGTGGTACTAAGTAATGTATAAGATTATTCAAAATAAAAATACATATCTATGAATGTCATTGTTTTTTATTATCCGCTCTGCTTATAAACTGACGCTACCTTAAAACTCCGGTGCGGTTACTCTCACCCAAATGGAATTGAAACTGTGACAGCCCAGTTTTGCGATACTTTTTCTTTCTTATACAGTTCCGAATTGATTGAGTCCGCCTACACCTTTGTGTTTCAGTTGATTTAGACGCGAGATAAGTCTCAAAGGATTGCATGCCTTTTGATTCTTTTCACCTAGCATCGCAATTGATATCCGAACCCGATATCAATTGTACAAAATGAAATCGGTTAAAATAGGCCACGGATTCGATTTTTTGTTTCGTGTATTCCTTGATATTAATAATGTGACCTTGAGAGAATTTTATTTATATATACACAATACACCGAATTTTTCCGATACACGTGTATTTATCGGAAAAATTCGGATGAGAAAAATCTTTTTTTCAGCTAGGCAAGATGCAGAACTGCTGCTGTTGGCAAATGTTACTGAAACTACACAATTTTTTTTAACAAAAAAAAAGAGACGAAAATCATTAAATTTACTAAATGGTGATGATATACGCCAATTATTACATATATCTCATCTTAAATTATGAGCAGTAAACTATATAAGGCTGTAATTTTTGAAATCAAAGATTTAAACTCAATTAAATTAAAGAATATTAAAAATAAAAAGACCGCATTTTCATTAAACAAAATGTTTTTTATCTGCGTCGACCCAAATACTCTGAGTAAATAACAAAAGACGTTAGATCCGAAATAAAAAAAAAACAATTAGAAATCGCACCGGGATACGCTATTATGTACAGCACAAACGTATCCAAGTCGGTAATGGCGAGCACTTCAAACAGAATTCAAAGAAATCATTATTCCGCGAGCTTCCGAGCGCGACCACGCGGAATCTAGGGACGGGGTTGTGTTTTATCGAATCTACAGAACTTTTAACAAAATAAAAGAGGATATAGATAGTTATAATTTTGAGCAACAATTCCAGATTAGTTTTCTACAGTATTTAAATACTTTTTCGGGTTATTCGAATAACTCATAGATATACAAAATAAAGATGTAGTATGCTTAGAAGCGCAGACTCCTACGTACTTAATTTTTTTAAATATTTATAGTCATTTAAGAACACCTACTTTTAAAGGACCAGTAAGAACTAGCAAAAACATGATTTATTACTGTAAACGATAAACAGTAATAATTTAGTAGTAACAATAATCAGCACATAAAATGTAAATAATAGAAAATTAAATGTAATTGACAAAATAGGCCAATAGGTAAAATACGCTTAATTTAATGGTCTCGATATATATTTTTAACTTGGTAATTCTAAGATCGTTATTTATACGTAAATTAAAGTACATTTCATTTACATACAAATAACAATCAAGTATTATGTTATACGTTAACATACTTAAAATTACTGTCGACTAAAAACGTGACTCTTCAATGTTCTTAACCCTTAAAAAATTAAAGTCACTTAAGAATTCACAAGCATTTGCATTTGATGTAAGATTATCGATAAAACACGGTGACAACCCTATCGCAGGTAGACTCCGCCGCGGGGTAACGAAGCTAATCTGTACTCAAGTGTCGACAATTTGAGTAACAACGGAAAATAAGCAAGCCTCCTCTGCGTTTAATTCACAATATAAACAACAGACTGGTTGTGATCAACTTGAATTAAGCGCCTGTTAACAAGTCAGGGGAAATGTCAATTCACAAACAAATATTGTGCGACCACAGATATTAAACAATTAATTATACCTTTAATATTGAAATAATGAATATAATATCCGCTTTTTTTCACATTTCCCGCTGTTTCTTCGCTCGTATTAGTCGCTATGTTTGTAGCCTTCCTCGAAAAACCAACACAAAAAGAATTGTTTAATGTGAACCAGTAGTTCCTAAGATTAGCGCGTTCAAACAAACAAACAAACTCTTCCGCTTTATGTATTAGTATAGATATTAACTTATCTTAGACATAAAAGTGTAAAGTTTCTTTTTCCCTAAAGCAAGGGGCACTTAACTGTTTTTGTTAGGTACTAGTGCGTTTATTTGCAGGTAAATATAATATAGAATATTTTATGATCCCGGGATTCCGGACTTAGGATCTCGTCATTGGACATAATATAAATATGTTTCATACTATAAATATCTGTCTCAAATACCAGTATTTTTAAGGAAATTTAAACTAAAATCTATTTAATATTACACAGCAAACGGAAAATTTTTCGCAATAAATTAAATGTTGGATGCGAAAACGAGTTTTTCATACGACAGTTGGTTAAACTCGCTACATTATTACCAAATGAAACACATAAATTACACACTGAACTCTGAACTGTCTACAATTGGGCATCGATGAAGTTTGGCTTGAACATACATATCTATAACTAGCTGTGTTCGCGACTTCGTACGTGTGGAATAATTATTTTTGATATCAAAATTAATTTATGAAATTATAAAAAAAAAAAAAAAAAAAAAAAAAAAAAAAAAAAAAAAAAAAAAAAAAAAAAAAAAAAAAAAAAAAAAAAATAAAAAATTTCCCCAGAGGGGGGGAAAAAAACAAAAAAAAAGGGGGGGGGGGAAAAAAAATTTTTAAAAAAGTTAAATAAAAAATGTTTAAAACAATCTCCTCAGCTTTATAAATAATAGCTGTCCGTGTCCCGTCACGTGTTTTTTGCGTGATAATCTTAAAAGTTAAACATATTCTGTCATGAGCATTATTTAAGATCACTTAAAGAAAAATCAACCGTTTTCGCAGAGAACGCAACGGAAGCCCTGAAATATGTAAGAATATAGTACAGAAATGTTGAGAAAATAAGAAAAATTATTCTTATTTTCTCAACATTTCTATCTGTCTCTCTATTGGTCGCGATGTGATAAATGGTTTAACCAACAAAAAATCTATTAATCAAACAATCAACAAAAACAGAAAGTCTATAAAATTTTCAATTTGAAGCAATAGGTCCTGAGATTAGCGCTTTTAAACAAACTCTTTAACTTTATAATATTAGAAGTATTCTTATAGATACTTCAAACTTAATTTTTAAGATGTTGAATGGTATGTAAAACATAATTGTAGGAAAAGGCTATAAGTCATTAGATTTTAAAATAAATTTCTCAAAAAATAAAAATAAACATCATAATGCCCCATTAAAACTATCGCAGAGAAATATTTTAAGAAATTTCGCTCGAGTATAAGATAGATATTTACTTACAATAGACAGTACTAGTATTTTTATTTAATAAAACTGTAAACCAATCCACCCAATATAATAGAATAAGACAACAAGACAAAGCATCTAACGAGCTTGTCCTCAAACAAAATCTGCGCCGAGCGGCAAGCAAATAGTCAACAAGAAACATAAACAAATCAACATTTTTCCACGAAGAATTCAAAATTTCCTAACGACAAAACAATCAATTCGACACCAGTGTGGTACTGAGTCCTGTGTAGTTGACACCTTCAGATGTGTTATGAAAGTCAAAAAAATTGTGAAAAATATTCTAACAATGTATTATGTAAGAGAGATGATATTCATCAGTCCATTCAGAAAGAGAATGAAAAAGTTTTCCGTATACTGTGGAATTTTTCTGACCGCCGTTGTAATATGCTCATTAACCAATTATTTTGTGAATAGCAATTATTACCAAATGCTTCAATTGGGCACTAGATTTCAGACTGATCTCAAATATATCTTGATTTGGAGTCCGCCAAAACCCCTTTACGGATATCGAAGAACCAAAAAGTCGATAACAGGCCAGAAAATTTTTATCAAACAAAAGTGTCCGCATTTCAACTGCTACATCTCCTACGATGAAAAATTATTACAAGAAGATCATAGGAACTTCGATGCAGTGGTATTCAAAGTAAAGGATATACAAAATATTGTAGCACCAATAAACATAACAAGAGCTCCCAACCAAATATATATATTCAACTCTTTGGAACCAGCAGAGATGTATCCTGTGTGCAGTCCAGTTTTTGATAACTTTTTTAATTGGACGTGGACGTATAAACTTAATTCAGAAATACCGCATCCGTTCTTCAATATATTCGATGTCAATAATGAAATTTTTGGACCAAAGATATTTGTGAACTGGACAAAACAAATGGATCACACAGAGAAATATAAGAATAAAATGCGCAATAAAAGTTTGGCTGTTGCCTGGATTATCACTGAATGTAGATTAAAAGCTAGACATCAAGAATTTATAGCGGAATTTAAAAATGAATTAAAAGGTTATAATTATACTTTGGACATGTTTGGTCCTTGTGGTGATAGAAAATGCCCGAAACGTAATAAGAAAGGTTGCTACGACGTAATTCAGCAGAACTATTTCTTCCAAATGATTTTAGAGGATACATTTTCCGAGGATTATATTACAGAGAGAATGGTGAAGGCGATGAATTCTCTTTCCATACCCATTGTGTTGGGGGGTTCCAATTATAAAAGGTAACATTTTAAACACCGTGTTCAAACTATTAACTTACATTAATAGGTAATCTATACGAGATGAACAATAAGGACGAAGGTGAAAATGTCACCCAATTACGAGTAATTTTAGGTGAACTAATACCTTGCGAAGTTATTTAGAAATCTTGTTTCACACTTAATAAATTAACTGGTCTAATGAAAACAATTATTAAGATAATTAGGAATGGCTGACACCGACGCTAGTCGAACTCATTGCCAATAGCCTACCGCGTTGTAGTTGATAAATCAATTAACGAATAAATTAAATATCAATCTAGAAAAAAAATACGACGCGGGCATGACTTGAAACGGCATACACAGCATTGTGTGCTGTTGCTCTAACCAATTTGACGCCCATAAAACGGCACGGTAGATAAATTTAAAAGTATATAATTTGAGTTTGTATGTCTCATTATAATTATTCTATGACAACTACAAGTACAACAGTACAGACTGTAAACTGGTCCGATTTTAGTGAAATTCAGTGTAAACCTATATTTTATTTCATACTCGTCGGATAATAAGGGTTTTAAAAATATTATGATAATAATTATTTATTTTCAGATTTCTACCTCCTGGTTCATACATCAACGCACAATCGTTCGACATGAAAAAGCTGGGAGCTATAATCGACTACTTAATAAAGAACCCAGTGACTTACCAATACTTCTTCGATTGGAAAAATCATTATTACTACATGGCTAGACCACGATCCTACATGTGCGATCTATGTACTAAATTAAATTTGTACAATGGCAATAATTCTTTGAGCAATATATATAGTAATTTTAGGAATTGGTGGAACCCGGATTATAAGGAATACTGTCAAGGTACTCGGTTTATTAATAAAAATCTTTAAAAATGCTTCTGTCTATCTTTGACTATCTTTAGAACTCGCCTCTCTAGATTTAGCCACGAGAGTTTAACAGAAACATAACCTTTGATCGGACAGGCTGATCAACTTACCTGTTTATAAAAACTGTTTTTGAAGCAGACACAAAAATGTTTATGCTACGAACCCTACATTAATATTATTTATTTCTTCAAAAAATCTGTTAATTCTATCAAATGCACGAGTAGCAATAAATTTGAATAGGTTATAATAATAATGAAAATAGGTATTACAAAGAAATTAAATCTATATTATGAAAGCTTAAATGTAGGTGAGGTTAGTCAAAATTGGGAAAATAAAATTGGTAGTAGTTATGCAAAGTAAAATTGTAACCATTTTACTTTACAAAGTAAAATTTATTCTAATTTTTAAAAACACTTAGTATAAACATATTATAACAGACTTTCCTTCTAATTAATGTTCTCGAAAGAGAGACTCAATCTTTATCAAATCGCTATTCCAAATAGATTGATCGCCTTTCAACGTATTGTCAGTGAAGATATAAAAAAGTATTCAATAATAAATCTGAGTCAAGATGTCGATCACAGATGGGCTTAGACGATTGATATAGGCCCATTTTAATGTCAACTTTGCGAAATACTTTTTGATAAGAGGGAAAATATTATTTTAACAATGTCACGAAAATTTATTTACATTTTATTTGACATGGCATTAACTTATATCTAAAATTAACAAATATTTAGATAACTTGCAGTTTGACAATATCAATAGTGTTACAAAGTATTTAATGCAGACAGACATACAGAAAATTTAAAATTATATGCACTGTTATATGTAGATAGAGAATATTATTAAAAATCCTAGTATTTCTAGACCAAGCTGAAGTGCATTAAACTTTTATTTATTGAATAACTATATAGTTTAAATAAAACACTTTAACGGTTTAAAACGCGATATATTTGTTAAACTTATTTGAAAATTATTTTTAACTTCGGCGGCTTTCCGTGACCACGGCTGCTACTAAGCATCCGAAATGTCGGGCCGAAGTTAAAAAATAATTTTCAAATAAGTTTAACTAGTATATCGCGTTTTAAACCGTTAAAGTGTTTTATTTAAATGTGTTCTACTCGCGTAAACTATAGACAGTATTTAACTATATAGTTTTTAGAATGTTACAGTTAACTTCCCGGATGTTTTGGCATGGCTTCGGTTAATGCGGAAAGAACAATGATGCCCAAAGGGGGCATCAGCCTTTCTTGGACTTGGACATGATGTAGGTGATAGTTGATGTGCTGGACATTTAAGTATGAGGGATTATAGGACTATATCTTTAAATGTGTATTTTCCCTGATATCTAGGGGCAGACATGCATGGGGTAACTTGATGGAGGGTGAAATACTCCAGCCATATAACACCTCACAAGATGCGCTATCGACCTATTTTGGGTCTTGGCCTGAAACCGAAACGCGATTAAACTTCACAGCCTTTTCATTTGTGAACGGTGGTACGTGGCCCGGACGGAATTTCGGTATTCTGAACATTAAATATCCAAATTGTCAGACGAGTCCGATATGTTTCAAGAAAATTATAAATTGGTTAAAATGATGTTGGACCCAGTAGTAACCGAACCCACGACCCGTTGATTATTAGCAGTGTATAGCTACCGCCAACGAGCCCGCTGATATAAATTTGGCCAAGATCAATACCATACTGATTTAGATTGACGGTCTTTAAAAATAGGTCCTGCATACACTTTAAGTAAGCTTTCTGTCAATAAATATTTTAATATCTAGTGTAGACAGCATCTTTGCTACCTAATATATTTCACCTTATAAACCGTTAAAAGTGTTTTCCATATTTAAATAGCTTCCCTAGACCTTTCAAGAAACTTTCAATTTACAGGGAATTGTAGATTAAGAAGTATGCAAACTAAGGTTACTAACAACTGATAGGGTTGATAATTACGGAAGCTCCCATCCATTAAAATCTTTCCGAATCAGCGGCGCTTCGCCCCCGGCGGCCGGTCTAGGTGGCTGCGATCGTTCGCCGGGGTGCTATCAATTATTTACACCTGTCAACACGCAAAACAATGGATGGGCAAACCTTTTATTTGGTTTCTCTGCTCGTCTGGAGAGTGAAAATTGCATGTACTTTTGAATTTTCTTTTGGGTTTCCGATCTATAAGGGTAAAATTCTAGTTAAAACTTTTACACCAAAATAATTACCAATGACAAAAGAGTCAATCTAGTTAGAGATGCAGACTATACTTAAATGTATGTACAAAGACTGAATATAACATAATTTATATTAATTGAAGTTAGTACTATGATACAAGTATCATAAAATGAAAAGCAAAGCCATTAAGGCAGGGTTTTAACGGGTTTATTGGTCTAAATCGGGTAAATAATCAATAGGTGGTGAGTACAATAAAAATGTTATAATTCTTAGAGGGTTGAAGTATTTTACCCACCCTTAAATGATCTCTATGCTTCTCTGACCTCCTCTATCGTAAAAAAAGTTTATTAGCCACGCGCAACGGAATGGAATAAGTACAAACGTATCGATTTTAATAGCTAAAACACACACGTTAAATACGCTAATAATCTATTTAACAAATATTAATATTAGTAATTAGCATTTGAAAACATTAATATTTTTCACATGTTATTGCACATGAAGGCACTATATAATTTAAAAATCGAAAATAAATTGAAAAAATTTTCGACTCGGGCAGGCCTTGAACCGGCATCGTCAGCTTTCCGTGCTGTTGCTCTACCAATTGAGTACCGAGTCCTACACCTCTCGTCGAATTTTTTTCAACTTATTGATACATGCACCTCTCGCGCAATGTAATTTCTACCTTAATACTTGCGTATTAAGGCTCAATGTCTTATGCTTTGCAGCTTAAGAAATCATTGAAGATGAAATTACAAGTTATAACGTTTGAAAACATTAATATTTTTCACATGTTATTGCACATGAAGCACTATATAATTTAAAAAATCGAAAATAAATTGAAAAAATTTTCGACTCGGGAGGACTTGAACCGGCATCGTCAGCTTTCGTGCTGTTGCTTACCAATTGAGCTACGAGTCCTACACCTCACGTCGATTTTTTCAACTTATTGATACATGACCTCTGGCAATTTCTACCTTAAACTTGCGTATTAAGGCTCAAGTCTTATGTTTGCAGCTTAAGAAATCATTGAAGATGAAATTACAAAGTTATAACGTTTGAAAACATTAATTTTTCACAGTTTTGCACATGAAGGCACTATATAATTTAAAAATCGAAAATAAATTGAAAAAATTTTCGACTCGGGCAGGACTTGAACCGGCATCGTCAGCTTTCCGTGTTTGCTCTACCAATTGAGCTACCGAGTCCTACACCTCATCGTCGATTTTTTCAACTTTTGATAAGCACTCTCGCGCAATGTAATTTCTACCTTAACACTTGCGTATTAAGGCTCAATGTCTTAGTTTGCAGTTAAGAAAATAAGAGAAATTATGTTTAACGTTTGAAAACATTAATATTTTTCACATGTTATTGCACATGAAGGCACTATATAATTTAAAAATCGAAAATAAATTGAAAAAATTTTCGACTCGGGCAGGACTTGAACCGGCATCGTCAGCTTTCCGTGCTGTTGCTCTACCAATTGAGCTACCGAGTCCTACACCTAGTCGATTTTTTCAACTTATTGATACATGGACCTCTCGCGCAATGTAATTTCTACCTTAACACTTGCGTATTAAGGCTCAATGTCTTATGCTTTGCAGTTAAGAAATCATTGAAGATGAAATTACAGTTATAACGTTTGAAAACATTAATATTTTTCACATGTTTGCACATGAAGGCACTATATAATTTAAAAATCGAAAATAAATTGAAAAAATTTTCGACTTCGGGCAGGACTTGAACCGGCATCGTCAGCTTTTCCGTGCTGTTGCTCTACCAATTGAGCTACCGAGTCTACACCTCATGTCGAATTTTTTCAACTTATTGATACATGCACCTCTCGCGCAATGTATTTCTACCTTAACACTTGCGTATTAAGGCTCAATGTCTTATGCTTTGCAGCTTAAGAAATATTGAAGATGAAATTACAAAGTTATAAGTTGAAAACATTAATATTTTTCACATGTTATTGCACATGAAGGCACTATATAATTTAAAAATCGAAAATAAATTGAAAAAATTTTCGACTCGGCAGGACTTGAACCGGCATCGTCAGCTTTCCGTGTGTTGCTCTACCAATTGAGCTAAGGTAGAAATTACATTGGGAGAGGTGCATGTATCAATAAGTTGAAAAAATTCGACGATAGGTGTAGGACTCGGTAGCTCAATTGGTAGAGCAACAGCACGGAAAGCTGACAGCCGGTTCAGTCCTGCCCGAGTCGAAAATTTTTTCAATTTATTTTCGATTTTTAAATTATATAGTGCCTTCATGTCAATAAATGGAAAAATATTATGTTTTCAAACGTTATAACTTTGTAATTTCATCTTCAATGATTTCTTAAGCTGCAAAGCATAAGACATTGAGCCTTAATACGCAAGTGTTAAGGTAGAAATTACATTGCGCGAGAGGTGCATGTATCAAGTTGAAAAAATTCGACGATGAGGTGTAGGACTCGGTAGCTAATTGGTAGAGCAACAGCACGGAAAGCTGACGATGCCGGTTCAAGTCCTGCCCGAGTCGAAAATTTTTTCAATTTTTTCGATTTTTAAATTAATAGTGCCTTCATGTGCAATCATGTGAAAAATATTAATGTTTTCAAACGTTATAACTTTGTAATTTCATCTTCAATGATTTCTTTAGCTGCAAAGCATAAGACATTGAGCCTTAATACGCAAGTGTTAAGGTAGAAATTACATTGCGCGAGAGGTGCATGTATCAATAAGTTGAAAAAATTCGACGATGAGGTGTAGGACTCGGTAGCTCAATTGGTAGAGCAACAGCACGGAAAGCTGACGATGCCGGTTCAGTCCTGCCCGAGTCGAAAATTTTTTCAATTTATTTTCGATTTTTAAATTATTAGTAATTAGAGCTAGTTCTAAAATACTAACGAATTTGCATTTCTATTATGCATTTAAACTGTATTAATTCACAATAATTGCGGGCGACAATAATGTAATGACTGTGTGTAAATAGTCTGCTAGAGCTAGGGTGCTCAGGTGCGTTTGTAGGCACAGTAATATTGACACCCCTACTATGTGTTCTTTTATACAACGTCATTTAAATAAAACACTTACACGATTTAAAATGCGAAATATGTTAGTTAACTTCATTATAATTTATTTTAACTACGGCCTGGCCTGCTTTGCAGTAACCTTGGTCACAGGGGACTGTGTCCCTTATGCAACGATTTTCAAGCATGTCGGATAGCATTCGATAATCGATCCTTATAATAATTCCGTTCGAGTTCCAATAGTGGGGTCCATGGAACAATGCAGCTCGCAGGTGCGTGGCGGTTCGTTAACACCTATCGACTACCATATATTGGTCGAATCTCACAATCCAATTGCGGACTGCGGAGTTTGATTGTAGTTTACAATACCTTCCCGTAAGCTCCACTGTATTGTGCTTAAATAAATAAAATCCAGACCAATTAATTGTTATGAAGAGATTTTCGTATTACGGTTTCATGTAAATCACATTATTTATTGTTATAGCTACGTCCTTCGTTATATGCCTGTGTTGTTCCATTTTGTAGTTTCAGAAGGGATAAATACGAGTATTTAATGATATTTGCAGTCGCTTTCATCGTTATATAGGTATACAACATATCATAGCATTAGACTAGAGAATATTATGGTAAAAAAATGTTAATTGTTCAAAATTACAAATATCAATGAACAAACTCAAATATATTTTCCTACCAGGAAAACATAAATAATACAAACAAAATAAATATATGCAAACAATAATTTCGTCCCGGTACCGTCTGCAAGTCAAGTGGTGGTTAGCATATCGTCGACGCCTGCTCGCATATTCATCAAGCTTTGTTTCTGACCCTACTTACCTCCCTCCATTCGCCAGCCTTCAGTATGCTAATCGGCCCACTATATCGGCGTTCGAGTTTCAGCCCCCGATGCTAATGAATTTCAGAGTATTTTAAATCAGAAACTTCACTTCGATAACTACTTCATTTTGACTTAAATTATATAGCTTCTTGTAAAATGTAGATGTTACCTTAATAAAACACTTTAACGGTTTAAAACGCGATATAGTAGTTAAAATTATTTGAAAATGATTTTTAACCTCGGCCCAACGTTTCGGATGCTTTGCAGCAGCGTGCCGTGCTCACGGGGAGACCTCTCCCCGTGACCACGGCACGCGTAAGCTATAGACAGTATTTAAAACAGTCTCTGATAAATACACAAGAAGACAATTTAAAAAATACAAAACATTTATTTGTTGGTAATATGTGTTTCGAAAGTTCCTATTTAAGTAGTCCAGTGTTACTATAATCATACTTAAAAAAGATATAAATTATTTTTCGTACTAATTTGCCTTTGAAATATATTATTTTATTTAATGAAGTTTAGTTATAACTGTTTGGTTGCTAAAGGGGCTAAAAGGTAAGGGGTAAGGTTTCCCTTATATTCGACAGATGTCGCTGCGCGCCGGTCGCGTTTCCCCTGCAACGCGCTATAAGAGTCGCCCCTACACCGATATAGGCCCTCGGTTGCAATTAGCAAGTTATCGCTTCTCGGCCTTTTGGCTAAGATCAAAGTGTAGTATCTGTTCTTTTCAGCTTAATATCTGAAAGTTCCCGCATCGCGGGACCAGTATATTAAACTGATTTTTGGAAGCTGACGGGATGCTCGGGGCTCGCTCCACTCCTGTCGCGGGTCGGCCCGGCATTGCAGTGCCGCCGGGATCGGCCTATATAAATCATATCATAATATATATCAACAAGCATTGCCAGCGACGTTTCCGGATAGACTAATTTCTATGTGACACGTCGTCGTGCATGTTTCATAGTTCATTGCATCATTATAACAAAATTATAAGAAAAAAAAAAATTTTAGGCATTATTTTCAATTACATTCGTACTACAATTATGATGGTTATAAAGAAAAAATATTATATTTACCAGAGTATACCAATTTTGTAAATCTTTATAAAAACTGTCACCTGTACACATTAACACAGTTACAAGTCCAATAACCTGAAGAACTAAGTCAGCTGACTTCAAAAAAGCTGATTACGCAATTATTCACAAATGCTGAACATAATTAAAAGTTGCCAGCAGTGGCCTCTTCATTGAGCCTTGTCGAATATTCATCAGCTTACCGTGTGCTTGACATAGTATTATAAAATTCAATTGCTTTCCCTTAGAGCCATTCTCAAAAAAATATAAGATGTTAACTTTGGTCACTAGTTACATAATAATTACCAATTGAAGTAACTTTATTTAAAAAAAAATGTCATATATTTTAATAAAACACTTTTTTAAACTTCGAATTGAAGTAGCTGAGGTCACGGGGGACATAAACGTCGGCCCGTAATTAATATGAATAAAAAAGAAATGAACTAATATTTTGCCTTTAAAACCGTTAAAAGTATTTTTTCGTTGTAATTAAGACATAACATCCTAATATCTACTTTAATAATATTCGTCTACTTCTACTAAAATCTATGGCTTGATCATGAGTTAGTAGGAAGAAGTTACTTTATAAGTATTCATTTTAATAGAATAATATTATGCTTTAATTAGAAATTGTGTTCCTTTTTTTAAGGTAATAGTATCGTGAGTCAACGTCTCATACACAAAAGCTTATTTTTAGCTAACATTTAAATTAACCTTTAGAGCTATGTCACTTCCTTGTTCTTGAATGTCAAGCTTTAGTTAAAAAAATATTCAAATACCAATACAGTTTTTGAAGTTTGGCCGAGAATTCTAAATTATATATTTTTTTATTTCAAGTGCATTTTCAAATACTTAATAACTTTTTTTACACAAAAGATTTAACGCTTTTTGGTTAAATATGGCAACATTATTTAGAAATAGTACTCACTTACTTATACGTCCTTTATATTATGAGAATTACTGTGTCAAAGACTAAACGTATAGGATACAAACATACATGACACAAATGAGAAATTTTGTGAGGTATAACTGGTACCTGGACTACTAGATTAGTCCTTGCCCTCATAAGAATGTAACAAAAAAAAACTTAGATTTTAACTGTTCTAAATTTAACGGTCTTAATCGCGAATTATTATACATTGAAAATTACGACCTGTATGGAAATTATTAAAACGTCGGTTCGCAGTTATAAATACTGTAGTACTAGTAATAATAATTCTCTTTGACCACACTTATTTGTGTATAGGTTTGGTATCATTTAAATAAGCTAGGCCTTCACGATACGTTTCAGCACCTCCGGGCAAGCACCGATCGCGCAAGGAACCAGGGTACCACCATCTCCGAAAGTTTCTTTTCGCATAAGACCCCTTCCCTTCATTTAGTTTCGCGCACAAGTGACAGAGCCCTTTTTCCACGTTTCTCTCTGTAATGGTGTAAAGATTCCGCCAGCGATGAAAGCTTTGATATACAGCTGGGTTGTTTATTGTGTATTTGAGTAACGCTATTATAGCGTCATGGGACATTGTCTTGATGTTGATGTAAGATCTGTCAGGAAGGAATCTGTAAAGGTTTACAACATTTAACTTTGACTTTAGATCGATAGTAGCAATGTATTACTAGTAATTAACGCGTTGTGCATATGATTCTTATCGGATCTAAGACACTTCTAATTTGTTTCATATTTTTTTGACATTTGGTCTGGATGACGAACCATCGTTGACAAGTTTTTTACAAAACAACAAAATTATTTAAATTAAATTAGATAATATATTTCGCATTCCATCAATTGAACTCAATGTATATTTGTCTCTTCTATCACGAAATAATAAGGTTTAGAAAAGTCACTTTTAATAACTACATAAATATAAGATAGGTCTGGTGAAAGAATATTAAATATTTTTTTCGCAATTTTATCTTCATTCAACAAATTTAAAAACTAAGCTCACCGAAATGTATGTAAAGGAGATTTTTAATGAATAAAAATGTACCTACTTTTTGATACCTTTTATAATCAGCATTTCCAATAACTACTGGCACGGCATAATTATTATAAGCCGTAAGAACATCACGACTCACATAATCTGTGGCACCACTATACTCAGGCACAAAGTAAAAATAGTAACTCTGCTTTATAACTCGATAACAAATATTCTCCGGACATTCAAACATCCCACAGCCAAATATGTCGAAATCCAGAAAGTTCTTCCTAAACGCAGACTGCAAACGCTTTGCGTAGTGCAAACTACCATCGTCGCATCTATCAACAATCCAAATCATGGCTTTCTTTTTCCTTCTTAAATTCGTTCTTTCATATTCAGTTAAATTACTCATGGTGGTTTCCCATTTTGGTTTGACTATTTTCGGGGCAACGACTCGTCCATCCAAGTCTTTAACTTCAAACAGTGGACTTGGTATATCGGAATCCAACTTATAAGTCCAAGTGAGGTTGAAGAAGTCATCAGTGTAAGTAGGGCAAATAACATAACTCGAAGACGACTGTATGCTATGAAATATATATTTTTGGTGGTCAGCCCTTTTCTTCGGGAGATTGCGGAGATGCCAGTTCGCCATAGTAGTAACGTTGAACACGATAGCATCAAAGATATCTATATCACCGTTCTGATAGTCTTTGTTCAATGTCACAAAACAGTTTGTATAAGCGCACTGCTGATCTATAAAAACATTTTGACCTTCTTCGAAGTCCAAGGTTGTATTAATAAAGACGGACCAGAGAAGGATTAAAATCAGATCGTTCTCCAGTATTAGTTTGTGATGAGATGATTTGTGGATGAATCTCTCCTGAACGTTTAGCATCTGAGTGAGGTTAGAGTAAGCTGTGTGGAAAGTGTAAAATGCTAACATAGCGTAAAGAAGAAGGCCAACGCAACTGAGAAAAAAAAATAGCTTCGCAAAGGTTTCCGTTCGAAACAATAACATTGCGAAACTGGTGCTTAAATGAACGTTATTACCATGTACCTCGTTTTAAAACCTCTGTAGTAATTTCTTGTTTGTAAATAATACATTCTTACCGTTTAAATAAACAAATTGGCGAGTTGTGTCGACTGCACTAAGCCAGTGGTATTTTTTGTGATTTATCATTTATTACTATGGCTTAAGAAGGTATTTTGAAGATTTAAGACAGAATTCACTATCACTGAAATGTCATTAATAGAGATTTCTTTGTTTGTACGTTAATTGTTATCTAGAGGGTATAATTTTTGTATGAGCGAAACAGAGAGTTACTTAATATAGTTTGTCATAAGTTTGTAGTAGCAACTAAGCACAATAAATTGTCTTAAGTCTTTTAATACCAACACTTCTCGCTGTTTCTCATAGGTTTCAATTAAAAATAGTTGTTATAATAAGCTCTTATATACCTTGAGGGATTTACATTTAAATATTTTGCATGAGCAGAAATTTAATATAAACTTTTGTATATGGCTGTATTTATTTGTAGGACTGTCATTTAGATGCATTAAGTAAATTAAATATATCCCATTGAACCGCGAAGTTTTAGTTCTAGACGTCCAACCCTCAAAGGAGGTTGCCAGTTCGCTGTCGAAAAGCTCTTGAGAAAAATTTCTATCTTTCGATGTCCCCCTCTATTTGCTAAGACCTGTTTCGTTACGAGAGCGCTTGTTTCCATTGTTATACGTTTTATTCTGCGACTTGGATTTGTTTGGTTAGATATTTTATTTGATCCTTTATATTGACATGTTCAAGAAAGAGAAATAAAGTAATTTTATAATATAAATTGCCTAAGAAAAATTTCTCTGAAAATCGTTACTATTTGCTGATCACTTTTTTAATAACATACTAAGGTAAGTTATCTACTACAGTGACATATTTTAAATAAAATAAAATTACTGAATTAAAAATAATAACTACTGATGGTTTGTTTTCAGAATGTCCTACTAACATACAAATATGTATGTTCCTTAATCTCATAAGTCTATTCTTCTTTGTTATTACGATATTTAAGCCTCCTTAGCGCAAAATTTCACCCAAATCAGTTTAGTAAGTAAACGAACGCGTTTATCGAACATAGGCTAAGTAGTGTTACTCGTAGTAAAATGGATACTTTATCACTCTGCATGTAGAACGTGAAGACTTCGGCAAATATGGACATCGCGTATGAAGTCAAATAGAATTACGTATTCCATAAAAATATGCCCCTTTACGTGACAACTACGTGTTGACGGCATATTTTGAAAATGCTTTTCAGAGATTGTTGCTTACTACATGGTTAATTTTGATCAATTATTAGAGATTTTATAAAATTTCAAAACAAATATACCTCGTTTTACGTTTTAAAATAATATATGTTATATTTTTCAAAGCCAAATAGGTCGACAGTGCAACATGTAGATGACACGCTTCATCGATTTGTGATTCTAAAACATGTTGGCTTTCTCTCCCGACATCACGGTTCTTAGTTGCAATAGACCAAAACGGATCTATAGTTGATGGACGTAAAATTACCATTCAATAATAATCAATATTTGAAATATTCGAGACCGCAGCAGTGGAATTCGTCTCAGTTATGCGTGGCGTTTAAGCAACCGGCAGGTATTGCCAGCAACCAAATACCATGGGTGTCCATTGGTATGCCATGTTTACGATGATCTTTAGTATAATAAATACTAAGCTTTAACGGTTTCAAAGGCGATATGTATTAGTTAAACTTATTATAACTACGGCCCATCGTTTCGGATATTTAGCAGCAGCCGTGGTCACGGAGGACACCGTTAGTCAATTCTGCAGGGACCCGGCCAGTTTCGCCAAATAGCAACAGATGGCGCTTGTGTAGCAGTTTTTACTTTGACATTAGAGACACTCTCCATCTTTAGTCTCCGCGTGACCACAGCTGCAAAGCATCCGAAACGACGGACCGTGGTTAAAATAAGTTTAACTAATATATATCGCCTTTGAGACCGCCTTTCAAATAAATTTAACTAATTAACGTGTTTTAAACAGTTCAAGTGTTTTATTCAAATATGTACTACTCGCTCGTCTTAAGTACTGTAAACTTCAGACAGTACTTAAAACTAAATTGGTAAGAGGAATCTTGACGTCTAACGATATTTATGTCTGTTAAATATACAATTTTGTCTGCCCTTTGCAGAAAAAGGCACTTTAACACAGAAAAATCTTCTTTTTCAAATAAGCACTGTTCTTCCAATCGCTTGTATCTGTAGCCAAGGCTGACGTAGTCAAGATAACCCAAGCAGAAAAAGCCAAGCGACCGCTAGTTAAATAATTGTTTATTCATGTATGTCTCCGCAAATCCCTCAGACATGGAGACCGCAGGTGGAATCTTGCAGTAATTATCTCATTTGACTAATGAACTACGTAATGTCAGTGAACTAATAGCATGCGTATCGCACTGATGAAATAGTTGGGATTATGTACTAAGACGTTAGATGGACGCAAGTCTACGTCCATTATATACCTATATAATTATTATAAACTACCCTCGAATGCGACCCGAGTTGAAGCCAGATGTTTTAAGCTTTAAACATTCCCCAATAAATGCTTCAATCAACACAAGAAGGATTTTTAAATTTGGGCCAGTAGTTCCTGAGATAACCGCGTATAAACGAGGAAAGATTAAGTTATCTGAACGCGAGAGATACATTAGATCAAACACTTTTAACGGTTTAAATCGCGTAGGCATGAATGAAAGTGAAAGCCATAGCGAGCTAATTTAAAAGGGAACAAAATGACATGGGAAACATGAGAAGTTTTTTAAACTTTGAGCTGGTATAATTGTATTTTACTTTTCTTGTATAAGGCAAGTAACAAAATTGCTGAATATTTTTTTCTTATTTGTTTTTCTTTCTATTTTTTATATAGCCTATATTCAAGATAGATGAGCTATGTACGTTTTGATTAAACTGATGGCTTCGAATTTCAAGTCCAACGCGTTTAAACGAACTAAAATTTCAGAATTGAGTAAAATCGATATTTCATTTTGTGAACTGTTCATCCGGTCAAACAAACAAATAGCTAAGTCAGGTGTCTAAGCATTTTTTTTAATCATAGAGGTAACCTCCTTCTTTCGAGTCAGTTAAATATTAATGTTTATGGCGGCAATTAATCTTGTCTTCGTAATAAAAAGAATATGCCAAGATCACTTTTTACATGTACATTAAAAAAACATCAATCCGTTTATTCAAAAGGTATCGCAAATATACACAGACACGTCGCCAACGGATCGTAAAATGTAATAATTGAAAATAATCCCACTTTTATTTATGTCGAATATTGAAAACCGACTCTGGCAACACTGCCGAATGCTACGAGACGATAAGGGAAATTTAATTTATATTTTACACGAATGTTTTATGTCGAAGGACTTAAATAAAGAGGCATTTAAATATATCTATTTTTGGTTATGTTATATAAAATAACTTTTTAGACAACAAGCTTGTCGTAGTTGATCGTGGTGCCCTTACCTTAACGACGTAACCAAGACAAAGTATATACTTCTAATTCAAATTAGGAATTATTATTAGTTACGTATTTCAAAAGCGTGCTGTAAAAAACCCCGGAAATATAAATCTACCCCGGAAGTTGTAAATAAATGACAATTGGTTGATCTGTCGAGTTTCTACTATATTTTTCCCGCGAATAATAAATTGCCAATATCCCATATCGAAAACGCAGAGTATTTATTGGTCTATTAATTTTTGAAAACTCCTGTAATCGTGAAACGTATTTATTTTAATGTCTTTTTCAGAGTTTGTATCGTGTTCGTAAATATGTATTAATAATTTACCGTTCAAATGATTATGAATACTAAATTTTGTGAGCTGTTTCGTCTTGCACGCCAAAATTTTCGACGTTATATTATTATCAGTCCGTGGAGTATATGTAATTAGTCTATTTCCCTATATTATGAGCATACTATCTATATTAGATAGACAATTCAATTTCGTAAAAACTTTACACAGTTTCAGACAATAGAATTTTCACGAAAGCAAATATAGAATTTTAGGCTATACCTTAAAAACTTGTTGACGTTTCAACAAGTAAAGTGAGACGTAAAACGTAACCTAAAGTAATAAAGCGAGCATTAAAAGTCGTTTTAAACGGCGAGTAATAAACATGTAATCCACCTGAGACTTGAGGTATTTGAAACTCGGAAGAAATGCGATAAAATCGAAGTTGTTCGCGAGTTTAAAAGTCTAATTTTCTGCCTTGCTCAGCGCGGCTTGAACACGAGCCAAGATCTGTACAATCTTGCAGATATTACTTTTAACTAGTTTTTTAATGACGTTATTATTACGGGCAATATTCTTTACGTTACATTCGTCTGTAGATGAAAGAAATGATTCCTATAATATAAAAAAAATTAAATATCATCCACTTATATTCAATTTTAAAAATAAACTACTTTTCATCAAGCATACATTATATCTTTTTGTTCATACCTTTTTAATGCTTTATTAATGAAAACATAATCCGTTATAAATTAGTGTATGTTTGTTTATGTCAGTAGTAGTAAGTATAGTAGTTTTAGTATGATATTCAAGATAATCAAAAACAAGTTATTCCCAGGCGAAGCTACGATACCGGTAATGTGTTCCCCGGAGCGCTAGATAACAGAAGCAGAGCATAGGACGCTACAGACATACCTACATATCGATATATCTTGTATCTGAATGTATAACTATATCTCTAGCGGGATCATATATTCGATTCCCCAATTTTCCAAAAATTATAAGCATTATTTTCAAAAATTATAACTATTACCGACTTGCTAAGACAAATTTGGCCAGTGTAGTCTAAGTCTATAGTATATACGCTTAGTTAACACAAATATTGTACAATATATAATGTATTGCGTAGCGTTATGATAAACTGAAAATTACCCTATAGGTGTGTAAGAATGCCATAAATCGTCTGCGCATCTCTGTACGAGAGTCTCCGACCAATTAGTGCAAGATGGTGCCACATTCCTTCGTGGAAGGCGCTATACAGTACGGCAGCATCTTTTTTATTATATTTTAATTATACCGATTTCATTTATTCTTTACATTTTTAAGGAAAATCAAACAACTGAAAAAAAAGAGTAGACAAGATTTGTTTATAGCCAAACTGTAAATAAACAAAGAGTCGTTTATTAATAATTATTCGTATAAAATAAAATTAGAAAAGCTCTAACTAATGAATAAATCATCAGCCCGCATGCCGCCATTGCGGAAAGTAGCCTTCTAGCCCTTTGCCTGGAACTCTATTCATATATTTCCTGGTATATAAATGCTTCTTCGATATTTTTTTTCTTATATCGAAAATAGTATCTAATTTGAATGTATAGATTGCAAGATGAGTTTATGACATTAGTGCATGAAGCGGTCTGGCATCTAGGCAAGGCGACTCTAGTTTTTAACGAATCCGAGAACGCGTTAATTACTTGAACAGTAATTAATATGATTTAAACTAAGTTGAAGGTTTGAAATGTTTGTAACAAGCTTCATTATTTAGACACGTGGGACGTTTCCGGTGCGTACGGCGAAAACGGTTCAAAAAATATACCGAAAAATTATGCAGGTATGAAATAATGTTTTCAATTCGACACTATATGCCAATCTTTTAAAATTAACTTGCAGGAACGGTATATATACGCTATACAGTAGGTTCAAGTCCGCCTAAAGTTAAAGATTTAAAACTGCTTAGTCTAAATCGTAATTAAGACAAAATATAACGGATCAAAATAGTGACTTGATGATTGATAATTTGGTTAAACACTTATCGTGATTCCCATACAAATCTATCATTGATTGATAGTCCAATACACCGGGTAAACTCGCTCGTAAGCTAGATGTGATGCATCGCACCTATTGTAACTTGAACGTACGTCTCATGCGAGACACGAACTACGTAACGCTTTAGAAGATCGCTTTGGCACGTACTCAGATACGCGATAGTGAATTGTGTTAACTTATTTTTCTGACAGAGGAGGGCAGAAAAGAAATCACTTCTTTTGATGAAGATGAAATGCCCCAGCCGTATAACATCGTATTAAGATGCTCTGACGATGATTGCAATGATTTTGTGACTATTCAGAAATCCACAGACTGAAATCGAAACGCGAAATTACGCTTCACGACTTTTTTAATTGTGGAGGGATTTCGTTCGGCGAACACCTACTTCTAATTATAGAGAAGACGGTTCAAACGCGTTTATAAAATCTTAGACAATTTTTCAAACACTAAGCAATCTTAAAATTACAAATGTCCATCCAGTCAATCCTGTCTGTCTGTCTATCTATCTATGTCATAAAGAATATTTTAATAATTTGATAAGAAGTTTAATTTACACAATACTAAGTTCAATGTTTTTTTGTTATTCTACGGTCTATTTTACGTACGACTGTACGGTAGGCAAGAAGGTCTCAACCAATACCATTTAGGTCTCCCTTAGTATTCCTAATTAGATTAAAGCCAATATTGTTCCTCAAACCCAGAGCAAAACAGAACCACTGGATGTGTTTTGTGACATATTACGTATTAAGGCGTGTTACACTCCACGCGTTTAAAATAAATATTATTATATTGATATGCGCAATGATATTATAATATGGCAAACAATACTAGCTACTAATGGTAGATTATATCATTTTTTACTTATACCATTATCAATAGAATAAATAAAAAATACTTACTACATATATGAGTAGTAGTAGTCATATAAAATTGCGACAAAATAAATAATAATGTTCGTTGATGTTATTTATAGTATCTTCTATTGCTTATGGTTTATAAATAATTTTAACAGCCTTACCATAACGTTTCGATTTAAATGTATCGAAATAAAATTGAAATATAAACAGTCTGTTTCTAGTAAGCCGATCGTGTATAAGCTACCTAATTGTGGTCAGAACAAAGGTGTCTTGTGAATAGATTAGTGCACCGCTCAGCTCGCCAGACCTCTGATTGTTTATTGCCTATTGATCTATTGAACGATCCCAACCATGCTCAAACGCATATAATAGTACAGCGTCCAGATAATTTTCTTATGAATTAAATAAAATAGTTGAAAAGCAAACGAATCAGACGATTAATAGTCACTTTTATGAAGTAGAATAACAATTTTATTTATGAAACATAGTTTTAAAAGCCATATGTTACTTTAGTATTTAATATAAATATAAATAAATTGTTTCTTCAAAAATCTCTTTCAATAATAATAATAATCGGAGATATAAGAACAAACAAGAGAACGTAGAGTGAGTACACTTCAATACGTGCTTTTTCCACTTAGTGCTTTTGAGGAAATTAAATAAAGTGCAACACCGCAGCATCATAAGCATCCTTACGAGACGTACACGTGAGCGCGCGTTTCCACTGTCGCACGGCACGATTATATTAACTATCAGTAACGTAATACAATACACTAAACTTCTCACATTTCTGGTTTTGTAAATAATCTAGATCCTAACTACGCAGCTTACTAGGTATATAAAAGACACTCACTGAAATATATTTTAATGAAAGTCATAGGGTTTTCACATAAATAACTATACTAAAAAACCTGTATCACACAGTCGACTTTTTATGTTTGTATCAAGAAATTTAAAATGGTGTAAAACACTTTTAAATCGGTAGTATACTATCCTATAATAAGATTAATTTATAATGTCAATAAATATATTGCACTATATTTATAATTAATTAAAGCCATATTTTTTTAAAAATCGAATAATTTTTCGACTCGGGCAGGTCTTGAACCGGCATCGTCAGCGTTCCGTGCTGTTGCTCTACCAATTGACTCGGTAGCTCAATTGGTAGAGCAACAGCTTTTGAAACTTTTTTCAATTTATTTTCGATTTTTAAATTATATAGTGCCTTCATGTGCAATATAACATGAAAAAAATAATAAAGTTTTGAAACATTTTTTTTATGGATTGGTTGTCAAGTTATCAAAAGTAAAAATTTTATTACTTTTTATTACTTTACAAATAATAATATATATTTTTTATTATCTTGTAAAAAAAGACGGCAGCGAATGGACAATCACTCCTACATTGCTGTGCGAGTGGGCTGTTTGTCTCGGCTTTTATTCGGAAGTAAATAAGATTTACCTTACTTTCAGTACCGTCTCAAGTGGTCGGGGATTCGATTCCCGAGCGAGTAAGCGCTTTGTACAGATGAATCCTGTGTTCGCAATTTCGGAGGTGCTTGAAAGCTGGCATTGCCGCGTGTAAAAAGATCTTATTACGCTCACATACTGTACGAAATTATGATAACACATTTAGTAAAATGTTCTTGACACATTTGAAAGAAGAGGCAAATAATTAAAATTACAACTAATGAACGAGTGTGGATTATAAAGCTGAAGAGTTTTTTGGTTTGAACGCGCTTATCTCAGGAATTAATGCTTCTAATTGAAAAAATATTTTTCTGGCATCGAGGAAGGCTTTAAGCTATTAAAAATATTAGGCTTAACTAATAGGAGCGCAGAAACAAAGGAGAATGTGGAAAAACTAAATTATTTATTTATCTATCCGTGCGCTGTGTATACGGTTAAAAAATGCATGTGTACTTTTAAGATTACCACGTAACGACGGTGAGACCCGGACGACGTAGAAAGTATAATTAGAGTAGGTATTAGATTAGGAGAGCTATAATTTATAAATCCGATGAGGTTATTTAATATAAGTGCCCAAAGTAACTATTCCACGCGGTTAAAGTCCGGGCTAAGATTATTTTTTTAGTCTCAATTCTAGTTTAACGTTTAACAGCGGTCTTAATTGGAATTGCAGTATTTCACCTTCGAAATAGCAACCACATGTTTTTCTCCTCTACGATGTCATAACAAAAGTTACTTAGTTTCCTTGTGGTGTAGAAGCCCACACAATTGTTTAACTATCATCCCCACCTAACTTAAATTCCTGAATAAAAACTAAACAAAGCACTTGAGACGCGATCATTGTTTCCGTCCACACAATACAATGTTGATTCTAATGAATTATTTTTAGTAAACATCGATGTTATAACTAAAACAAAGAATCGTTCACACGGTGCTGACAAACGGATAGACAATGGTCTTGTGTCAGAGTGCAGTTATCTTTCGATCGGGTTGCAGGACAAAATGTGGGCGGTGTCAGTTGTTTGGGTGACCACGGTCAATTTGGTGAGTACCTGTTGATATCGATTTAGGACAACGCGAGTTAAAACAATGGTTACTTTATATGGCTTTGCATTTTTTAACATTGCTAAAAGTGGCTTTTAAAGCTTTCATACAAAAAACGTTAAGAAATATTGTTATTTTATTTTTAATTTACTATACCATTTATTCAGAAAACGAAAGAGAAAAGAAAGAAAGAAAGAGCAAGAGAAAGAGCTAAAGAATACAATTTATAAACAATTGTAGAATTAAATCTATTTTTAAATCATTTTGGCATCAATATATATAATGATATATATAGACATACACAATTTTTGAGCTTTATCTTTTAAAGGTAGGTTTTTTTAGGTAAATTTTAGTTTTAGTTTTACAACGTGTCTGTGAAATCCTGTTCCTTATATGTGAAACAGACACATATCGGTATCTACATATGTGTAATCCTTTGGCCTCTACTGAGCGCATGTTTATCAACCTTTAAACCATTTAGAGTTACTATTTATATTAGTAAATTTTTAAAGTTGGTTATCCTTCATGCGTCTTGTTTTACTCTTGCGAAACCTAAAAACTCAAAGGCATATTATTTGATTCAGATATTAGCATCAGCGCAATCATCCGAAGATCTAACTACCTATACCGGTGCGTATACGCACTATCCCTCTACTGTTAACTTCCACGATATCTACAGCAACAATCTCCTTAATGAAAAGGAGGAAACTACGGAAGACCTAAACACGATACCCAGCCAATTCGTGGAATTCCATCCACGTCTGCTCAAGATATCTCCCATCACACCAGCGCCCAGACTTCTCCTAAACTCCCGATATCTGAAGAAGAATGATGAAGCCACCACGGACGCAGGTCCAACCACCACGGAAGAACCCGAACCAATTAAAGTAATCCCGATAAGAAACCACCACAGAGGAGTACTAGACGTTTTGTTCCCGGCTGCGAGGGTTAGAACTTTTAAGAATATTTTCGATACTTTTAGGCGAGTTCTATCTTACACGTTTTGAGCACATATAATGGATTTTGGGTTTTAAATAAAATATAAAAGCAATAATTGTTTTTAAATACCGTCTATAGTTTACTCAGAGAACATTTAAATTAAACACTTTAACGGTTTAAAACGCGATATATTAGTTAAACTTATTTGAAAATGATTTTCAGTCTCCCCGTGACCACGGCTGCTGCAAAGCATCCGAAACGTCGGGCCGAAGTTAAATCATTTCCAAATAAGTTTAACTAATATATCGCGCTTTAAACCTTTAAAGTGTTTTATTTAAATAATTGTTTTTTTTTTATATTATTACCTGTATATCCCGTAATATTTATATTTAAGAGCCGTATAATTAATAATTACATATATTTATGGTAAAAAATAAACGCCCCTTACGAAATTTGAGCGTATGCTATATTGTATATTAAGATTTCATATATTCTACTGTTCCTGTCTTATTTAGTTACCTTGACTCTGGGTCGCATTGTGGGGGTAACTTAGCAAATAATTTCGGTGGAGGAGGACAATTTTGATTACAAAATCGATCAATGCAGTCATCTCTATTTATGCTCACGCTATGAAACAAGATTTATACTTGTATTCATTTTGTGTATACGACTACAGAAAAATACAGTTACAGTAACGCCAATAGCTAGTTTCATAGTCTACTACTTACCTTGAAAAAAATATTTTTTTTTACTAGTTTTATAGCTGAATAATATCATTTTTTAATTATACTTATGTTTAAAAATGAATTTGATTAAATTCAAAATCCAACAGATCCTATATAACATCTATTATGGACCATGCCCTACGCGTAACACTAGAAGCAGATTTTTTTTAAATTAGTAATAATTTAAAAAAATATCTGCCAGCCATGGCTACGGCCAGTAATGGCTACTTCCTCTTAATTAAACTAAACATTTTAAATTAAGCATTCGTTTTTTAAACGCTTGAATTATCTTAACAGCTTAAAAGCTTTTTTCAAAAGCTTATTTTAATAACTCGTGCTTGATCACATAATAACTTAAATATAGAGGCCGTAACAACCTCCAGCGCAGGGTGCTCCACGCTAAAGGGTCCTCTAGCGAAAACGTGATTCGCTCTGATTGCACTAATTACACCAACTATTGAACACTTGCACTCACTATGGCACAATTAATTTTTTGGATAAGTGCCAACGTTTGAAATTCGCCTTAATATGGGAACTTTTTAAATGAGGAAGAATATTGGAAATTGTCTTATTTGAATTTGGTCTAGAACATTTTGTAAGGACCGCTATCATATACAATAATATAATATACATAAGTATATTTCTAGACGTAGATTTCATTTGTAGACAGAGTTCGTGACCCCGATGGAAAACTATTATTTCGACCACACATTTAATATTCCGATTTTCAGAAAAAATCTATCAGAGAAATTAAAAATATTATTATGAAACAAAACTATGAACATATTAGAAACATGCTGAATCTGCTCCACCACATTGTTTTTTTAGCCATACAGTGTAAACATTACATCAACGAGCTCGTGCAAATAATCATGTTCTTAAATTCATATAATACAAAATTCGGAAACTGAAAATGATGGAATCAGCTTAGTTACGTAATATTTTAACAGTGTCTGTAGTTTATACGAGTTGTACACATTTCAATAAAACACTTTATCGGTTTAAAACGCGATATATATTAGTTAAACTTATTTGAAAAATATTCAAACTACGGCCCGACATTTTGGATACTTCATTTAGGTACGCTGTGTTTTATTTAGGATATATTCTCAGGTTTCTTCCTACTGTGCCGTACATTGATGCGAAGCCAACGCGTCCGTCAAATAAGCTCGATCGTTCTACGATTTACTAGATGTATACTTTCGATCAGCAGAGACAAACTGATAAAGTTTCGTAAAATAACAATGTAACTCGATATTCAAAAGAAATACCAGTTTATATGTAAATAAAAGTCTACGGATGGTAAACTATTTACGACTCAATTTGCATCATCGGCCTTAAACTACTAGCTTGGCCTTAACTAGGCATGAAGTAAAAGCTACAATTAAAAAAACAGTAGATGAAGAAATTCCGTTTCGTGACAAAAATGCAATTTTCACGGCTAATATAATAAAAGTGGGGAGTCCGTCTTGAGCGTTAAGACGCTCTGTGAAAATATTTTTATCAAAGTTATTTCAACTAGTACTTCTTTAGTCTCATTCAGACAAATTTTTAAGTAAGATTATAGAATGAACTTATTTACTTGGTAGTACAATGAAGTCCTAATGAAGATCCTAATACATTTGATAGATTCACCGCTTGCGCTTAAAGTTTACGAAAAAGATAACCTCCGTCTATTATTTAAAAGAAGTTCAAATTACAATTTTTTTTGACATATTTTGAAATAATAACTTTCTGAGAGAGCACTTTTTAGCGTGACTGGGGGTTTGGGCGCCTCTCTATTTGAATTCCAAATTTAAATTTTATCAATTCGAAAAATTTGTTTCAGTTAGCGCATGAAACGACATAAGACGCACACACAAACATTTTATTCAACACATTTACAAAGCAATTTTATTTATTTTAGTATTTTTTAAAGAACATAGAATCTTTAAAGTTCTTTGACATATTATAGAAACTACCAATGGAAGATTCTTCTTGATGATGCATGAGATGTTTTTTTTGATTTTTCTCTTGAATTCGTAAAAATCTTTCTGTTACTGTTGTAAAATTCCCACCACAAAGTGTGAACACTTTACACTCCTCACTATCACTTTTTACGCTCTCGTAAAAAAGGGATTGAGGGCTCGAAACCGACAGAAGTAAAAACTCTGCAAAAAAAATTAACTAAACTCATCGCGATGTTGAAAAACACCAATCCAATAAAGTCCTGAATTTTCAGTTTCAGCAAAAAACTCGATGATGCCGGCGCGGCGGGGCGGTAAGGGCATTTCATAGACAGTACTTTGTTAGTAATAAGTATTTGTTAAAGATTTGTGGGAGATCTTTATAAGAACTATTGTTGCTTTAAATTAAAAACGGTCAGGGTCACATGTGGATAAATGATTGTTTAACATTTGTTATTATTTTAAATTATGGATCGTTGAAACTAACGTTTCGGAAATCATTTCATAAAACTAAAAACTGCCACTTAATTCTCCTAAAACTGCTTTCTATTAGGAAGAAGTGGTTTTATCTTATTTTCTATTATAATTATAGATAACCTTCTGAAATTCCCTTAAAATCAAGCGAAGCGCCGGAGACATTGGTAAGTTGGAGTTTTTCAACGTCCATTTTTATTAAAATGAAGTTAAACCCGCTGACTGGCGACGGGAGGTGATAATTTTTATTCAGAATCTCGAAGGAGTCTCTTCATAATGAATGTTCTTCATTTTTATTCGGAAAACTTTGCTTATGTTATCGTATTAAATCCATATTTTTTGATTTATATAAGCAGCATTAAAAAGCAGACAAAGTGGCGTGTACGAATATTATAATAAATATTCTATCTTACATTAAATTAATTATATACTAGCAAGTCATTCTGTCATAATATTTTTTTTCACTAATAGTTAATATTAAAATTTATATTTAACGAAAAATACCAATAAAAATGATATTTTTAGGTATATTAATAGCAATGTTAGTCTTTGTAATAGGCTGAAGGATATATAATAATATAGGAGAAGGTACATTTTTATGGAAATAGGACAAGACCAGTGCCGCTTCGTGGTATGAATAATAACATACTTGTACTTACTACGGTACGTTACAAAGCGTTACTAAAAGATGTTAATTTTATCTTAAACTGTCTTTTTCGCATTAGATATTAAAAAGTGACGTACCCGCTACGTACATGCGAAGTATTGAAATTCAGTCGGCACCCCGAACGCGTGCAAGCGTTAAATGAATGAACTTTTATAACTTAGGTTCTACTTTAATACCGACTTTGAGGTTGGCCGTGATGAACAGCCCTCACTTTTAATGACTTTTCGCTAATATTCAGGGGTTTCGTCGAAAAAACTTCACTGGACCGTGAATTTTGAATCGGTCTTATGTAAATTGTCATTGCTATACTTCATTTCAGCTCATCAACGCGCTACAGTAGTTTATACTCATCATTAGTAATTACTGATCTCTTATAACGCAAAAAATGTTAAGTTATATATATATGGCAAAGCGTGTCACACAAGTTTTTTTGCATATTACTCGTATATATATTTAAAGATAACACTTGTATCGTTTTAAAACGGGGAAAGTATTATTATGTATTAGTTAAACACATACACATTATTTAAACTACGGCCTCACCTTTTCGCTGCTGCAACATTTCGCGTTAGTCTTTTATTTAAATGTGTACTACTCGCGTAAAACTACAAACTAAACGCATAAACTTTGTAGCGTACACAATCTTTACTGAGTGTTCAAGAGCGAAATTAATTATCAATTTAAAAATGTTTCACTGAAACGCGGACGAAAATTTTAACACAAACTCATTTCATACGAGATTAATACTACAAAAGCTGGCCAGTAAAACAATTTAAAACTAAAATAAGCTCTGTCTGAAACACGAGAGGGCAGCACTCGTCTATTTTTCATCATTTGCATAACGTCGGCCGTGAGGAGAGCACAAAACGCGGCAAGCCGTACAAAGCGGATTTTCATATTTAATTTTCTATTTAGTGTAATTTCATACATATTTCCCGGCCGTTTCATTAGCATGCGAAAAATTATTTAACGTGTCGTCTTGTTTTCGCATGGTTAGCCACTTAGAACTAAATTTTAAGTGGATAATATACATTGTTTAGTGTTAACCTGATGTTACATTTTTTTTTCACAGTAGACAGGTACACGTATCTAAAAGTCTCAGTAATTTTTCTTTATGCTGCTTAGTTACAACAAAAAAAGTAAAAAAAATGAGAAGGGCTTATTAAATTGACTGTCTGATTTGACTTATCTGTAATATGAAATAAGGGAAACATATTTATGTCCCAAATCCACACTTCACTTTGTTTTCTTTAAATTAAGAATATTAATAAATATTTTTTGTTTTAAGTTTGTTTTAATAAGGTAATTCTACTTTTAACTTTTTTCAAGTATTTATGAAATAATCCATATTCGAAATTCAAACTAAGTGTTAGTATTAACTAAAGTAAATAAAATATATAATATTACACTACTAATGACAGATGACATTAACCAACTGTATGCCTTTCAATTTCGAAGCAATTTGTGAATTCTAACAATAACTGTTTTAGATGCCTTCATTGTTTTGTAAATACGAAGATACCACGAACTTAAAAACGTCACTTTCAACATGTCTAGACTGCTAAGAACATTCATTTACTGCGGTTACTGTGTTTTGTTTTTACAATTGGTAAAGCCTTACTTTAGTAACACTGAAATTAGGCTAGAAATCAAATACATGTTGCGTACACCTGGCACCCTCAAAAAACTGGAACGCGACATCAAAAGGTACAGGTACAATTTGACTAAAATGGATTCAAATTACACAAGACCGTTTCGGCTGCCCACAGACTACAAATACATTTTGAAATGGACACAGGCGTTCGCGCATCACACCTCCTTAGTCTTTCGAAACGGACAAAAAGCATTCTTGGACAACAACTGTTCCTATTCTAATTGTTATTTTACCAACGACAAAAGTCTCTTGATAGATTTGAGAAATTTCGACGCGATTCTTTTCGACGTTGAGAATAATTGGGATAGTCATCCACCAGGGCGTTCCTCTCACCAAAAATATATTTTCAAAGCGTCAGAATCGGCAGCCCATTACCCAGTTTGCAGTCGTTTTTACGACAATTATTATAACTGGACGTGGACTTATAAATTGGACTCAGATATCCGCTGGTCCTACGTCACTATTCTAGATAAAGAAGACAATGTTGTTGGTCCAAAGATCAATATGACCTGGATGTCGCCAATGGGTTCCACGCCCGATATAGTTAAAAAGAAATTGGTGAAAAAAAGGCGCGCCGTCGCCTGGTTTGTGTCGAACTGTCAAACGAAAGAACGGCGTGTTATCGCTGATAATTTAGCAGAGTCCTTAGATAAATATAAATTAAAAGTGGATATCTATGGATGGTGCGGTAATCGAACGTGTCCTAGGAACAGACTAGAAGACTGCTTAGACCTATTACAGAAGACGTACTACTTCTATCTGTCGTTTGAGAATTCGTGGGCTGAGGACTACGTGACGGAGAAAATTTTCCATCCGTTACTACATTATACGGTACCGGTGGTGTACGGCGGAGCTGATTATACAAGGTAAAAACATTTCACTTTTCGCCATTAACCGCATAATGTGATATTGTCTCAATTTATTCACACATTCATTGTTCATTGAACAATACCGTTTATGCGTTAAATAGTATTGATTACGTTTGTTGTATAAAAAAGATTTTTGCATAAATGAATACTTATGATTATAAAAAAAAATTGAATTACATATATTGACATTACTTTACGACGATTTCACGTTATATAAATATAAGCGGATAAGAAATGGCACAAAAAATGTTGACACGAGGAAGTCGAACCACACCTCTTGATTTTCAACATGTTTTCGAGGAACCCTAGTTTATTATATAATAAGAACAGTTAACAATACTGTCTGTATTGCTATTTGAAGTCTGTCTGTATTAAAAAAAATGTTTTATGTATATAATAGAAAATTGGTCACACTGAAAATGATATATCAGTCTAGTAAAGATATATTTTTCAGGTTTCTTCCTCCTGGGTCGTACATTGATGCGGGGAAATTGAATTCAGATGAAGTTGCCTCCCTCATTTCGACTGCCATAAAGGACAGACATGTGTATGAGGAATACTTTAGGTGAGACTTGCCTAGGTCTATTATACGTATATAGACTTAATGAAATTATTTGTACATATGTATATTAAAATACTGTCTATAGTTTACGCGAGTAGTACACATTTAAATAAAACACTTTAACTTTACTACTAATAACTAATTTGAAAATGATTTTAACCGGTCCGACGTTTCGGTTGCTTTGCAGTAGTCGTGACCACGGCGGCTCGTTTTCAAATAAGTTTAACTAATTATCGCGTTTAAAGTGTTTTAGTGTTTTATTTAAATATATGTATATTTTATGTTTCTTATAATGTACATCTCTAAAAAAGCATGCAAACTTTGTCTTAGAAGAGAGACTTAAACCTGCGACAAATTTATTGACATATTATCTCGCGAACATTACTTTTAAAATAAGTGATCATATAGAATACGTTTATAATTATGTATTTAGTCGAGTGTTACTGTGTATATCATTGTTTTGCATTATTTAGTTGAATTGAAATCGGAGCAAAATTATGGGTTTAATTTTCTGAGAATCTAGTCTAGATTATTAGTTGATTGATGACGATTTTAATGTATAAATATACCAGCCTAGATGTTTTTAATTTCAGGCATTAGTTGAACCAATAAAATATGTGAAAGATCTTTAAAAAAATAGAAAATTGTTTTCTTTAATTATAAATTAAAGTTTTCAAGCTCGTATACTTTGTAATTTCATCTTCAATTATTTTTTAAGCTGCTTGTATGTTGATTTTTTTTATGTAACCGTTCCGATGCAGTGCAGTAAAAGCAACTGCATCGGAACAGTTGTCATTAGTTCCATTCCCACCTGTATCTTTACTTCTTCTTTAAATACCTTTTGTTTATAACCTGATAACATTGACAGATGGCACAACCACTACGTGTACAAGGAGAGTCCTCCGAAGGCAGATATTTGCGAATTATGTAGACGACTTAACACGGAAGAGAAGCAATCGACAGTTGGGAACTTCAGAAAATGGTGGAACCCACGATACAAAGAGATATGCAGACGCGGTCCACATTTTACTGATTTGAAATTTTATTAAAATAAAACGCGTGAGTTTATAAACAAAATGTGTCGGTAAGCTAAAATGCAAATTAATCACTTCATAAGTCACTAATTATTTTGTATTTTTCAATTTATTTATAACTACATGCCCACGTTTTTAAAGCTTTGTAGTAGTGGTGATGGGGGACTTATCGAGTTTGTCTCTAATGTCAAAGTCAAAACTGCTACACTAGCGCCATCTTATAAATTTCACGATGTAAGACGATAAAAGTGTTTTATTTTAATGTATACTACTCGCGTACACAAAAAACAATAAATAAAAACTGTTTATACGATGAAAATTATACTTTTCTTATTTTTTTTTTAGTTACCATAAATGCATAATGGAGGTGTTTACTAATGACCTTTAAAACGAGAAAGAATTTATAATAGAGATTTTAGTTTAGTTGTATGTAATTAGTTAACATCTCATAGATGCATATATAATATATATATTTAAAATATTGAAACGATCGGAGAAGGCTTAACATTTTAATGATGCAGGATCTAGATAACGTTGGTTTCATACAAAATTCATAGTCGACCGTTAGATAAAAACTAAAGGATAGGATTAACAGCGGTTCCCTGAAATTCAATTGGACACAGAGACTCGTTTGGATCTGAGAATCCCACTGGACCGCTTGTTAAGAGTTATTCAGCCCTCTGTGGAATAATTCCAATTAAAATCAAGTTATCGCCGACGATTTTTCTTTGATCAAAACCGCTGACCGTTCAACCTTCGGGAAAATTGATTACGCCATAAAAAAGGAATGATTATTGCAAAATTCCTAATTTTCTATCACTAGGCATTTATTGACACTTCAATTATTTAGACTGGCTTATAACTGTGAAAGTAAACTACAAGTAAATAAAATAATTATAATGTTTTGTTATTTTGCTTTTAAAAGTTTGGACTTGCCATCACTTTACACTTTAGGAATTGTGTACATAATTTAAGGCCCTTTATTCAATGATGATCTATTGCTAATCAGTAGTAAAGTGGCGTGGAGGGCCTATTATTAACGCCCACTCTCTTATTAGAGGGGAGATCTGCTGTGCCGAGGACACATACATATGAGGCTGCTAGAGGCACAGTGACCTAATTACAAAAAACATGATTTTCAGTAAGGAGGAGAATAAATAAATGAAAAATATCGAAGTTCTTCAATACACATCGAACAGTTAACCAAGTAATTAATTCAAATGCAAAAGAACTTTACTCAATTTTTAGTTTAATGAAGTCGCTCGCTAAACAGTAGCAAACGAAAGCGGAGTAAACTTATATTTTCTTAGACGTAGCTTCATTTGAAAGTTTGCGAAATGTTTAAGTTGAAATGCAGGAATATGCGAGCGTTGACATACATCATTAGTCGCGAATACATCGGCGGAAAACTTTATTTAACTGAACACGACTCTAGGACTTCTTAGTCCGTGCGACAGATTAGTATGGATAAGCCCCTTAATAGTTATTATTGTTTTTCAATAATGGAGTAAGACAGACTAACATGCGAATCACTTGATGGGAGGTGAAATACCTCAGCTATATAACTTCTACACAAGATGCGCTATCGACCTATTTCGTTTTCAGATATTCAGGAATCCTGCAACTGCAAAGAAAACTGAACTGAAACGTGATTAAATTTAGGTTTTTATCTTGACGTTTCTATCCAATATTTGATATTCCTACCACGCATTTTCAACAAACTTGTTTCAGAACCATTTTAAATTGACAAAATTAGAAAGACGGTGGGGGGGGTCAAACCCACGTGAACTACCATTGCTACAACCATTACTTCAACATTTCAACTGGAATGACAAATTGAACCACTAGATAATAAATAGATTTTTTTGATAAAAACTTCAATGCACATCATAAAAGTTATTTAATAATAATAATATAATTAATTATTCGTACCTATATTGTAAGTCTCCTATTAGTATCGATGTTCTTAAGAAATTAAACAAAATTAAAGCTTTTTAAGAAGTCCATACTATTTTATCAAATCTTTAACTGCAAACCTTATAATTTTGTTATTTTAGCTAAACTGACTTGCTATGGTTTTAAATGAGATATTTGTTTTCTTCTTCAATATAACTATTATTCAACTGTAGGTTGTACTGTACTAATAGCACTAGGTATTAACAAGTGTACATTAGTTGCGTAATTTGTACAATTTAATTTTAAATTATATTTAATAATTTACTCGTTCTCGTCACTGTTTTACGGCCGGTCCCAATAACATATTATCAGTCAATGATGGATAGCCATCCCTGATAAACAGTAAAAGTTAAAGTAGCTGTAACTGGCGTTTCAATATTATTTTATGACGTGTCTATCAAAGATTAAATGTAGATAGAGAGGCTGTCATAGGTTATCCTTTCCCTCTCAAACGTCCCGTTTTACACGTTCTACTAATAACAATGATGTTTCTAAATAACGATAATAATTAATAAATAAATATGTTAATATAATTTATGTTATGTTAATATAAATATGATTTTGGTTAGCCTTATAAAGAAATTTTTAAATTAAAAATAACACAAATATTACTAATTCGTATCATTTTTTAATTCTTAGTGATTGACGTTGCTTGTAACGGATTTTTAGGCGTGTCTTATGCTGTCAAAGCGACGGTCCTATACGTCAGTGTAAAATTTTAATATTTTTATTTGTATTGAAACTGTGAAAAAGTAATATGACTTCCTGACTGAATACTATAATAAATGGAATAGAAATATAAAATGCTTAAATTAAAATTGTAAATATTAAGAAAGTTTAAATAATTAAATATTTTATTTTAATTGACAAATATTTTCTTTGAATAAAAGCAAGCATGAGTGATAATTTGTTTTCTAGATACTATTCTGTATCCATATCAAACCTACAAACACAATGATCGACGTTAAAGGAGAACTTAATCATTTCAGTAATTGGTGCTAATGAAGTCACCGTCCTGAGCAATTCCTTAAAATGGGGGAAAACTCGAAACTATTTTATTCAGAATAATTAGTTATTTTATGCCTAAAGCCTTACTCAATAAATTTTTAAACCAACGCATTTTTTTCATTCGAACAAACAAATTCTTCACTGTTTAAATTATATAGATTAGAATGACAATGAACCTGGTGATAGATAAATATACAATCAATGACACCCAAAACTTTGGGAAAACCTGTACCTATGAAATTTTTGCCGAGTAGTACTATCATATTTTTATAAATTCTAAATATCGAGCAATAACGCGCGTACCTAATCAGCTCAAGTTGAGATGATTTGGATAGTCCAATGAAATCTAACACCGATTAAAAAGAACGGAAACCCTAACAGTAATCCTAAACAGCAAACAATCTTTTTAAATATACAACAATAACTTGCCTCAAATTTTCAGCGTCACTTTCATCACTAAACAATTTACTTTTTTTCTTACGTTTAATAAAAAAAGCAACGCAAGAAATATTCAGAAGCTATTAACGCCTGTAAACCATTTCGTAATCTGTCGGAAATCCGTCAAAATCGGCGGGTTGCCAAATCTGTAACAGTTTGTCGTCATTGTAAACAATAGTTATCAGTCAGTGTGTTATTGAGACGCCTAAAGTCTATTTTGTAAGTAACCTATCAATGATAGAAAGTTGTCCCTCTCAACAGTCAGTTGCGACCAATTGTTGAAATGTCAATCTATCTGTGAATATTGAAACGCAAAACTTCAAGAATTTTAATTGTCAGTTAGGATTGTCACTTCTAGTTATATGTTAGTTGAATATTGGGACCGGCCATTAGGTGATTGATTGTAGTTTGTCTAATTATTTATTATTTTTAAAAAAAATTCGGGTTCTGATGTCTTTAATTTTTAAAATTTCGCTCTACTTAACTACCTCCATTATGAAACACGGTTCTCCTGCCGAAATATTGTCAACAATGACATAGTTTAGATCAGACTAATAAACTTCTTCCCGTAAAAAGTAACACCAACGGACACTAAAATGTGTCTGCCCCAAACCCATAGTACTAAATGGAATTATTATTAATCTGTTTATTTCTGTCAGGATTTTCAGCTGAAAAATGTTACACAAAATCTCGTAGAACATTCGCTATTAACAAAAATTGGAGTTGGACCCAGCCAGAAACTTATTAATTAGTTTCTTATTTACTTTCCTCGTGTTGACCACTGGCAACTCAACTTCGCCTAACTTTATATGACTGCTTTTACTTTGGTATCAACTGGGAACTTATCAGGTCTATAATAAGAGTTCTCTCTTACTACGTTATTGGGTCTATAATATTACCTATTTATTTTATTACTTGAGGCAGAGCAGGAATTATCGATCAGGATCAGGGAATAATCACCAGCCTCTTGTCTCAGAGAGTTAGTTTAGCCATCGGACTAATTTGGTGGGTCACAACCGTTAAACCAACTATCCTCTATGAGAGCTAGTCTAAAAATAAGAGTGTATACTAGCTATAATTAAATAGTTCTACCAAATGCTAGTATTATAAATCATACTATAATTATAAACCACTCAATAATAGAGTTATAAATCGGGTTTAATAACAAAACTAATCACGATTTATAGCGATATAATTTTGACGTGTTAATAGTCGAGTCAACGCGTTTAGCTGTAAGTAAACTGCATAAAGTTAGCTATGCCTCGATAAGCGCTTACATTTATAGTCTAAGAGCGAGACTGAAAATATATTGTTTCCAAATGTTTGTCTACTTCAATATTCCATTACAAATAGTAATCTAATATTAGGAAAACAATTAAGGATTGGTTAGTTCACTTAAAAGCGAATAATATATGACGGCATTACGTTAAACATCAGGTTCACAGGACGGTCAATGTCATCCTAGCGAAATTCTTCTTGAACACACTTTTGATTGGGACGGCGCCCGCGCACCACGAATGTGGAACCACGCATTGTGACGAATCGTTTTGAATTTGTCACGCAATTTTAAGGTCTATTGTAGTTTATTACGTCTATTCATCGCTAATTACCTAACTATATTGTAATTCCCGTTACAACTGATTAAAATGCGTGAATTGTGATTTGAAGCTATATTTTATATCCAACTACCGCACCTACCCACATCATTAGATTATGATATATTAAACACCATTAATATTATGTTTATATTATTGTTCTTTACGCGTTTATTGATAGATTCGGAAATCTCAGTTTTGCATTAAATAATCATGAAATGGATCTTCATCTCTTAGACTATATGCCTTATCTTAACTGCAAATGTAAGCGCGCTGTATAAATAATGGACTTTCTTATAAACTACAAGTTTATGGTCAAGAATTTGCTTGCAGTTAATTTTCATAAATCTTGCGGTAACTGGGTATACCATATGACTTTAATGTGAGAAAAAAACTTTTAAAACTACTGGAATATACTTCTTAAAGTTTCATCATAATGTATATTTTATAACTTTGAAAAAAGTAAGATACTACGCGGACAAGAAAGACAATTTCCCCCTACTCTCCATAGATGAACTCGTAGGGTTTTAGGTGATTCTACAATTCGGATCCTGGACTTCCCAGGCCATTACGAGAGTTAAGATGAACTACAACCTTAATATATTTATTTTCACAAGAGATTATAAATTATAAATTTTCACAAAAGAACACGATCATGTTGACACAACCAGGTGTCGAACTCCTGACCTCTGAAATAGAAGTCAATACTACCACTAGATCAACACGGCTCTCTGGTGAGACTCATACTGATTATCCTACGAAACTAATAACATTTCAAAGTATTGCAGTTAGGTAATATTACGAAGGCTCCTGCTAAAGGATTTGCCTCGCAGCGGTCTTAGTGAGACTAATTTCAGAATACTCAAAGACGTACTGGACTTGAAGTTTCTTTGAAATGCATCTCTTTATTGCTTGTACGAATTTTACTAAGAGAATATTGTGTATCTTAAGTTTAATAGACTGAAATAAAGACTGCTACGACGAAATTGTTTTTACATTCATAAATGTAAGATTGTGTCAAGTTACGTAATAAATGATGGCATATATTATATAAATAATAGGACAAGACTATACTTAGTAGAAATACGGTCATAGCCAATAAGAAGGTAAATATAGTAGGTAAGTTAAGGGTGATCGTGAATTGTGAACTATAGTGGTGTCTAAAAAAGTTTAAGAAGTAACTTTTCCTTAAAATTTAAATTTTATATTATTATAAATATCAGAAGGAAGTAAAGGCACAGATTAATTACAACTAATATTTAAGCCACATAATATACAAATTTAAAGCGACCAAACCATTTGTACGTGAAAAAGGAAAAGAACCATCTATACTTCTGTAAAGGAAATTCTAGATAACACAATTCACTTTTATTACGAATTCAAAGCAAATAATATTTTGTTTTTTATCTTAATAAACCCAAGTCTGTTGTAAGTAACTGTGTTAAAAGTATTTTAAGGAAAAAAATAATTAAGACACTCATTAACAACGTTTTTTTATGAAAGAAAGCAGTTATATTAACGTGGGAAATTATAGATCTTATAAACTTTATCAATGCTACGCAATTAAAACATTTTTATTTTGTATTATTTTGTTCGTCTCTCAAAAACCACAGATAACTTATGGTCAATTTATTTCAAACCACAGACTCAAATAACACATTTTCATCTTGCAATAGTCAATATCGTTACATTCTGGCAATTGAGAAAATTCGAAAAACGCTCAAATCACATCGAACGGTCTTATCTGAGTCATCGTTTCCCGCCCTTTCCTTGTCCTAACTTACTTACTGTTATATACTTTAAGAGACGCGAACCCATACAACATTTTATGGCTCACAGTTAATCTTGACAAAATGGTTTCTTCAAGATCTATGCTAAAAGTACTGGAATATAAAATAATAAGGACAAACATATTATGTGTCCGATATTTCTGTTTGATTTTATTTGAAAATAAGTTTGTTTTTTGGGGGGGGGGGGGGGGGGGGGGGGGGGGGGGGGGGGGGGGGGGGGGGGAAAAAAAAAAAAAAAAAAAAAAAAAAAAAAAAAAGGGTTTAAAAAAAGGAAAGGTTTTTTTTTTAAAGGGGAAACCACCCGGAAAAAAAAAGGAAATTTTTTAATGGGGTTTTGTCTGCCTTACTGGTTTCGTGGGTCCGACATTTTCTTTTTTTCAGACGAGGGACTTAAGGTTTTTCAAAAGTAGTGTATGATAAAAAAGTACATGATACCGGTATGTCTTATGTATATAAACTGTAACATATTATTAACTAAAAAAAATTACCACCGTCATAATCCGTTTTTTTCTTATTTGTCTAGCGTAAATATTTTAATCAATTTGTTTTGTATATTGATAGCATTTGAAGCTGTTCTTATCTCAGCTTCCAAATACAGAACTATGTTTCATAAGACCGCCACTCTAGCTAAATGGTTAAATGTGTTGCCTAGCATTGCGTTGAACACGCGTTCTGGTGCAGGAGTTCAAATTCCGGAGAAACAAGAAATTATCGGTCAAGCACGTAACAAAATTCTGATCATTAAAACGAGTACAGGAATATGTTTACCCCAAACGCCATTAGCCTACAAGTAAAAATACCTTATTTAAAAAATAATCGTACCACAGGTGTAAAACAATAAAAACACCTAATTTGGGGATTAAACGTAGCGACCCTTCTTAAGTGACATGGGTTTGTATTTATGGGATTCCGATTATTATCCCGTAAAGTCATAATATATTACTTGGTAGAGCAGGGTTATCTTTTAAACATAGAACTCATGAATTATAAAGGGTTATTAATTGAGTACGTCTATGTCTGTACCTATCTAATAATGGTGAAGAGAATGAAATTATAGTTTTGTAAGTCCATATTAAGTAAATACATCTATACTTATATATAAAGCTGAAGAGTTTGTTTGTTTGAACGCGCTAATCTCAGGAACTACGCCTTGTGACTAACAGGAGCGAAGATACAGCGAGCAATGTGGAAAAAACGGGAAAATTATTAATTTTTATGATACTTAAGATTTCAATTTTTCATCTTGGTCTAGTTTTGGTCTAGATTTTTTGGTCTCTTAGTTTGTTTTGTATTAAAGATTTATAAGTTTAATATTATGTGTATATCGTTTAATTATTAATTTGGTGAGTATGCGCATTTTTTCTATTAGTAAAATAATAAATAGCCAAATATTCTAGACCTCTACAAACGTAGTCCGGGTAACCCGAGTCATTAGAGCACGTGAACAAAAGCAGAGCCCCGAACAAAAACAAGAAGTGTAGATATCGACAAAACAAGGATAACAAAGCGAAAAAATATCACGAATTAATGGTTGGCTGGTCGGTTTTTGGCGTTCCCGCAAAACGCACTGGCGCGCACATCTATTCATCATTTAATTTACATTTGGCCCGCGAAAAAATGGACCACGCATTTGGTAAATAAAAAATTTTCAAGTGCCAAAGATTTGTGGACAACGGGCTCGTTCGTGTGTAAACTTGATTTTATAATGGCTTCGAAAACAACGGGTTCCGAAATGCTTTGCATTTTCACATATAGAACATTTTGTTCTATTATGAGGCTCCTAGAGGCAGAGAGTCATGGACGAAGACTATAAAGAAGTTTGTGGAGGGCACAGTAGTTTGATTAACTTCATACTTGGTTTTTAAATAAAACACTTACAACGTCCCGTCTCCACGGGGTCTCCCCGTGACCACGGCGGCTGCAAAGCATCCGAAACGTCGGGCCGTAGTTAAAATAATTTTCAAATAAGTTTAAATAATATATATATCGCGTTTTAAACCGTTAAAGGGTTTTATTTAAATAATGGTAAATATAAATCTATAGGTAATATATATAGCTATTAATAATATTATCTATTACTTACACAAGTTAAAAATTTTTACTCAACAGCTCGTAACTACAAACTGCATCCTATCAAGCCGTTTAATTTATATCTACAAGCTAAAAGGTAATAAATAATCACCTTATTCTAGTACCGATAAAATTACATAAAACTATTAAGATTTTTGCTGAAAATTCGTCATAGGTGATTATTTCCTTATATAAAAGCAATTCGCAAATATTTTAGTATTGCTTGATAAGATGCAGAGTTTAGTGATTTGTCTTTTACTGGTAAGTTTTTTTAATTCTTGCCTGAATACATATTTGAAAATTAAATGTTTTAAATACCACAGAAATTATAATTAACATATGAAATTGATGTAAGCTTATTGTAGATAATTTTAGTTGTCTGTTAAATGATAAATAGTTCTATTATTAAAAAGTTTCAGAAGTGAATAATCTTTTAGCAATCTTTTTTCTATTCTTTCAAAAAACAAAACTGAAAAGCGCCAAGGTACATACGTATTTTTGTGCCCGTCTATGCGATGATTCCGAAAACAATTTAGTACATTTCCACTGGTATTTGAGCATAGTAAAGCAAAACTTATATAAAATGCATATGCTACAGATCATACCTGCAACAATATGCACGCCCGGTTGCCCATGCAACCCAAACAGTCCACTAAGATGCAACAGTGACTGTGCGTTTGATAACCAAGAGTTTGAAAGTGATGAAGCCAAAATGACGAGGCAAGGCTTAACTTTCCTCAATAAGGAAAAAGAATTGGGACGTTTACATGGAAAAGGTGACCTGTTGTGCGTGAATTTCCCGCCAAAAGGACAAGTAAAGAAGTTCGGTGGACACCTAGATGGATTTATTCTGCATAACGGGAAATTAATGTCTTTAAAAGAATTATTGGACACTGCTAGTAAGTACACATAGATACCGTCTGTAGTTTACGCGAGTAGTACACATGTAAATAAAATACTAACGGTTCAAAACGCGATATGTATTAGTTAAACTTATGCAGCAGCCGTGGTCACGGAGAGACGTGACCATGGCTTCATTCGAAACGTCGGGCCGGAATTAAAATAATGTTTTACCGCGTTTTAAACCGTTAAAAGTGTTTTATTTAAAAGTACATATAGCTTTATAAATTCATTTAGAATAGCAAGAAAGACTTAAGAAACTATAAAAAATCTTTAAGTTTGTTGGACTAAAGGTCTGCTAATAAACAATCATAAACAATCAGGAGTTCGACCCCTACCAGGTCTAACATGTCTCTAATCAATTTATAACTTTTCTAAAATTTGTTGGTCTACCTTTTTCAGGGCCTCCGGGGGCCCTGAAAAAATGTGTATTAGTAAGTGTCCTTTGTCGTGACGTAACTTAGAGGAAAAGCAGTTTTTATTTAAACTAGATTAATAACGAAAATTATTTACACAGAATCTGGACACACTTTCAAAAACAACTTCAAGCGACCTTATGGAAGTCATCAAAGCAACGCTATCTACGATGTAAATAATGGTGAGGACTTCAATAACGAAAGAGAAGGTGGTTGGGGCAGTCTTGGCGGTAGCTGGGGATAATAGGAAAATGAAAAGAGCGTCCGTTTTAAGATTCTAGTTTTAACTTTCAACATAAACAAATGGTTTTAATTTTATGTATTCTGAAGGTGTAACCTACAAAGCAATATCATTAAAACTAGTAAACCAAAATGTGATTGTAATTTTTAAATCCATAAACTAAAAAATCCACCTATCAAATCTCAGAAAAATTTCTTATCGGAAAATATATTTCGCTTTTTAAACCGTTCAATTCGAATCATTTATTTCACAACACATACAAATCATATAATTGTTTTTCGGGTTGTTCCATCGATGTAAGCGAGAAGAGGTGCTTGACGTTACGCTATCACACGCGGGCGGCTTCAACAGTGAACGATTGCCTTGAAAGCCTTACAAAATGTATTACAGTCTAAAAGTGTTTTATTTGCATGTGTAGATAGATACTCGCGAAAATTACCGAGAAAATTTTTGTTTACATGCATTAGTATTTATTAATAGTATATAAATAGATAATAAATTTATTTATATAATAAACTTAACTAAAAAAAAAACTGTCCTAAATTGCTCAAAGTTTAAATCACAGATGTTAGAATATTGTTGGTGAAAGGATAGAAACAGAAAAGGCCTGTTATATTCTGCCAGTTCACATTAACACCCCTGATAATATGCTTTGCTTAATGCTGTAAAACGGTGTTATTCCAAACGGTATCAAATTATTTAACAAAACTAATTTTAATTAAAAATCTACTTGGGCACATTTTACGACACGGCACGACTTGAACCTTGGACAATTATTTTACAACAACTAAACTTATAACTTTTATTTAGTATTAATATTTAATTGTTTTTACCTCGAGCACTAGGTACTACGACATATGCCTCCTTTGTATTCTCACTTCCAAATTAGGTATATATTAAACATAATTAACTAACCGTACAAAAGATTAAATTTTATTTAAAATCTAGCTAATAGCTGTTTCTATTCGTAATTTTGTAATTATATCATATTGCTTTAATAAAGGCAATTAGTAACTGATTCGAAATAATTATAAGTTTAATTGGAACACTGTTCATTCAGATGAAATTTGACTAACTTATTAAATGATGTTTTGTAAACTAGACACTTTATTATCTTAAGTATAGAATATTTTCCAAATAATCGTAGCGCGTTAATTATACTTCCATTACAATTATTAAAATAGTGTACAAAGTATTGTCTGTAGTTCGCGCGAGTAGGATATTTAAATAAAACACGTTTGACGGTTGAAAACGCAACATATATTATATATTTAACGATGGCTCGACGTCCCGGATGCTATGCAGTAGTCATGGTTGTAGGAAACTGAATGTGGAGGGTGTCAACGTGAAATCTGCGACTCTAGCACCATCTAGGTTGGTAGAACTTATTGTGATGGTTCAAGTCGGTAATACATTTATAAGATGCAGTAGATAAACCGCAGAAAAGAACCATTCTCTAAAATAAACTACTTAGCAATTCACCTGAAGTCGTCCGCTTTGCTAATTAATTTTTGTCGAGAAATTCCGGTAATCCGCTAAAGAAGTTTGCTTCACTCTTGCATAATCAAGTCAAGAACTTGGTTTGGCAAGCGGCGTACTTGTAATTGCGCGAATCTATTACTTAGATTTACGCAGAGAATATTATAATTAGATAATTAGGATTCTCGTATTAATATCTCGTGTGGAGAATGTTGTTCCCAGTTCATTCAAATTAAATATGTGCATAATTACGATATAATATTGTATACTGATTTGTATTTGAAGGATTTTAGTAAAAGTCGTGTAAAATCTAGTGTGTTGTGGGTACCTAAGTTTAAAAACCATAATAAACACTGAACTTGACTAGAGTAGTATATTAATAAAACAATTTAACGGTTTCAAACGCGATATAGATTTATTAAACTTATTTGACATTTATTTTAACAACAATTTATATATTAGACCTTTTTAATTAATATTATTATTTTATAATTGAAGAAATGTTACCTAGCATTTTTGTTCTCTGTAGCCAAATGGTTAAACGTGTTGCCTTGAGTTAAGGCGCGAGAGGCCCGAACCCCAGGGGAATTATAGCTTGTAAAAGAGCCGAGCGATACGGACACAAAAATGTGTTCGCCCCATTCCCCATAGAGAGAAAAGGGGATTTAGCTTTTATCGCTTTTAACCAGTGTCCAATTAACGAATAGTTTATGATAGAACTTGTGAAGGGGAGAACTTAAATCTATAACTGAAATGCAAAGTTGTACATCAGATTAACGATAAAACATTAAATTTCATAACGACTTTTATCGAGTCTCAGAAGTATTCGGAGCTGTGGGAATCCTTGGCTAGAACTTGGCCGTTCGCCAGCAGCCAGACTCCGTTAACGATTCAAAAAATGATCTCGCTAAGGCACTCGTAATATCCTTTTGGAAAATTATCGGGACTTAATAATGTTTTAGATGTGATAGTGGACGCCATTTTGTAGTCTTAGTACAAAATGGCGTCTAGAAAAATTATTGTGTACTGCGACTTTGTCCGCGCAGAATAGTTATTTTAGAAATTCAAATTTGTTCTTGCAAAAAGCCACAATCTTCAAAGATGATACAATGTGGCGAACTTTTTACTAGACCATTTAAAGAAGAATCATTCTTTGATACACATTTTTTGATATCTTAAGAGATTAATAACTTGCCCCGTTTCTCGCAGTATCTTACTTCAGCTCGCACAGCGCGCTGTTTTATGGTCTATATCCTTCCTCAACAAATGGTCTAACCAACATAAAAATTATTTTATTAATTGATTCGGTAGTTCCTGAAATAAGCGTGTTCAAAGAAACAAACAAACTCTTCAGCTTTTTATACATGGATCTTAAAAACCCCTGATTAGTTTAAATTGGCAAATAGATACGAAAAAAGAGAATTACATTTTATCAAACAAAAATTTGTATATCGAATCCCATTTCAATTCCCCCGACCCCCTCTTCCGCCCCCCTTAAAAGGTAGAATTGTGTCCACTAAACGATTACGTCTCCTATTACATCAAAAACAAAAAAAAATCACTTTAAACACTTACACTGTACAATATTATATACATATGATGTACAATAGCGAAAACTAAAATTACAAAAGTTAAAAATTGTTCGCTGTTTCCGATTAGGTCAGAATTTTAGAGTAAAAAATTGCGAAATCACAACACTGTAAGCTCTGGTCAGACTAAAACAAACGTAGAATATTTTAATTTATTTTCTATTTTGATTACATTTTAAGCTGTTATTTTCTCAGCTTCAGACTCCCTGTAGTCAAATGGTTAAACATGTTGCCTAGCATAGCGTTAAATGCAAGAGGTTCAAATCATGGGAAAACAATGGAACAACCACAGAAGGTTGATGTACTTGCGTTCAAAAAACCGACAATCGATCACAAATATATGTTGCCCCATGCCCCAATGGAGGAAACGAGATTTCACTATGTTTAAGAAGTGAAGGTATGAGTATTTTAGTGGAATATAACATTATATTGGAATCGATAGGAATCCCTTATTTAAATTAAAATTCTAAATTATAAGTACTTTTTGTCAAGCTGGCCCTATCCCACCATTTAATAGTCTTATATATCTGTATTTTGTATGTAAGGCTACTGTGGTAAACCGCGAGACATGTTTAAGTTCGTGAAATATTTAAATAAGTACATACTGAAGCTAAGAATGCTATGACGATTTTGAAAAATAGCACGTAACAACTAGCACTGTACGGTTAGGAGATTAGGCTCGGACCACATTGTGTAAAGTTTTAAGCTCAGTGCAGACGAAGCGAATGATGTAATCCGCTTCCTGTTTATTCATTGGTCACTGTGGGCTTGAATTATAGACAAGTTGCAACAGTGCAGTTTGACGGACTCGTTGGGGCAATGGTAGCAATGTACGGCTAATCAACGAGTCGTGGTTCGATCCCCAGCGGGTCGAATTATTTCTAATCAATTTATATTTTTTCTGAAATTCGTGTGGTAATTTGAACATTAAATGCATTGTTAGAATAACGAAATTCTGTCCACAGATGAAAAAGCCGTCAACTTTAATCAAGTTTCGATTTTAGTCCGATATTCGGAAATTCACATTTCCGAATATCGGAAGCCAAAATAGGTCAACAGTGCATCAGTTTAAATGCTATAAGCTGGAATATTTAAACTATTATACTATAAATGCTATAAAATGCGAATTTTTGTTTTTTTTTTTCTTTGTTTATTTACTTCACGCTAAAACTGCTTTACCGTTGAAATAACAGTAGTACATTAAATTAAAACACTTTTACGGTTTCAACGTGAAAACCACCACGGCTGTTGCAAAGCATCAACATCGGGCCGTAGTTAAAATAAAAATATATATATATCTATCGCGTTTTACACCGTTAAAGTGTTTTAATACAATGTGTACTACACGCGTATTTGGTTGGTTGATTACCTGATCCTGAAAATTCTTTCTAACATTACTTTCTACCACAATAAATTTGCCTTCTAGTTTTTTAATAGGATAACATAGAATTCCTTTAAGTATACGGCTACAAGGTAGTTACTAGGGTCCAAAAACCTTTCATTGATCACGTTTCAAAGTCAAATGAAGTCCGAATGACCTAAAAAGACAAACGGCGTGCAGAGTTTGTTAGATAAATAGAGTAACTTTGTTAGCCCCTATCGGCCGTTGGGCCAAACTCCTATTTGTATAGTTTCTTTTGTGGCGTAAACTTTCACGTCCTTCGAAGCGGTTAATTAACTTGACTCCCGATAAAATGTATCCCTCCGGTTGTTAATTAATGTTTTTAGCAAGAAATATGAAATACTAGGTGTTCCTCGCACGTCGTTCTTGCAAGTTAATCGTGAAATATGCATATAATATTGTCGCGGATTTTTTTTTAAAAATATATTTATAGTGGAATCAATCGTTTTGGGTATCTTGAAGCAGTTCCAAGACGCGCGCAGACAATACCCACGAAGAAAATGTGTTACATGAGAGTTGTACACATATAAAAA